ACGGTTTTAATTACACGGACCAAAAATTTTTAACCAAAACAGTTGACAAAGTTCCCATCAAGGGGGTACTTTGTTTGTTCACTTTGCTAGACTAGAGCAGTACACCCAGAAGTAAGCCCTCCCATGTTGCTAAAAAACCTTTATAAAAATTTAAATTCGGGAAGGTTTGAAAGCCAAAGGGCATCCCCCGACTGATGTTTTGAGAAAAGCAACGAACTTTGTTGCTGGTGCTGGTTTATAAGAAAAGATCTTTGATCAAACCAAATAAAAAAAGATGCTGAATCAACGCTTTTTTTTTGTTGTTGGAGATACATTCCTCCTAAATCTCCCGGGCCCACAGCGGATTTTATGAAAAAATGATGGGGCTTTTTTAAAACGTTTTTTAAAGGGAAGACCCCTTCATCGTCAAAGAATCGACTTAGAAAAAATTTGTTCGATGTGATTTAAATAGAAAAAGAGTCAACAACCGACCTCTAATTATGTTACCGAGGTCTGGGGCAATTTAGAATGTTAAATCCATCCCCATTTATTTCCCTGGCAGAAGGTCGAACCCGTTCCTCCCCATGAATGAAAAAAAAAAATAGAGGATCCTTCTTTTTTCGAAACCCGGCAAATCAGAAAGTAAAATTTAAACACCTTAATTTAAAATGTTGAAAAGTTGGGAGGAAAAATTTTGGGGAGAAACTAATTTAACCCCATTGAGAGAACAAATTTAAAGGAGCTGGTTTTTCCCGAAAATATTTGTCCTTAAGACCTGGTGGGGCATAGTGATTATTGCAATGATGGGGCCGAGGGCCCCCAAAGGGCCCTCGGAAAAATTTTTGACCATATATCCTGATATAAAAAGGAATTTATTCCCGGGCATTGATGTTTTAAACAAAGGTTTTAGTAATTTAAAGGGGCAAAAAAATAAACTAGTACAGTTAGGGAAATTTCACGTGTTTTAAAACAAAATTAGTGATTCTCCAGAAACCGCACAGAACCCAAATCTGTTTAAAAAAGACAAGGAGCAGTGGTGGCGAGTGAGAAAAACAAATTGATGTTTTAAATGATGAATAGTTTTACCGCAGGAACCCCCTGCCCCCCCCCCCGTGTGGGGAAAAAATTTTTCCCCCAGGAGGGGGGGTAACATTCCCCCTTTGCCCCCTTCAGCCCCCTTTAGCCCCTTTTGGGCCCCGAGGGGCCCCCGCCCTCTCAAAGGGGGGAAGCATCTTGTTTATGCCCCAGCGAGTAATTGACCGCAGACGCCCGTATGAGTAAAAGGGCCCTGGGGCGCTTCGACCATGCTGCTTGCAGTTTGCCAAAATGTAGTTTAATAAAAGACAGTTTTTCTCTTAAACCCTTTGCAGGACCCAAATTAAGGGAAAAATCCTGCTCCCAAATTTATTTAAAACCCTTTGGGAAAGATAGTGGACATTGTTGTCTATGCCCTTTAAAACAGCAAGAAAACAAACATTCCCGCCCTTTTCTTTATCGAGGGGAATTTGGGAAGGAAGCAAATACAAAAGGGCAGCTTTTTCCCTTTTTGTGGGGGGAGTAAGACGTGGGGCGTTTTGGGGGTCTTCAATTTTCTTTTTACCTACTAGAGTTACATGATGCCAGGATAACCCCGCAAAGAAACGTTTTGTGCGTTTGTGTGAACAAAAATTCTCTAAAAAACAATAAACACTTAAAAAGAAATGTGATCAGCTTTTTTTGTGAATTAAAATTGTGAACAATAAAACAAATCTTGTGGAACATAGTTTTAGCAGTGTGCCCTTTTCCTGACAAAGGAAAACGTGGGGGGCCTCCAAAGGGCACTTTCAAGCCCTTTTATCAATCCCCCCGATATCTGCGAAAAGGGGTGAAGAACCCCATAGCTCACGCTACAAAGCAAGGTTTTTATGAAATTTTTTGTAAAATGGGGGGCTGGCCAAATTCTTGGGGGTAGGCAAGGAGTTTGTAAATCAACCTATAGTCGGCCGTAAGGTGCGGATTTTTTAGTCCAAAAAAAGTAGTAAACGTCAGCAATCAGTGCATGAAAATGCTGACATAACACCCCCCCAGGGGTAATTTATAAACTTACAAAATTTTTAACTCATTTACAGCCCGTTTAGGGGTTTACTTTTACAGCCTTTTCAAGAACCCCCGTCGCAGGGGCGGCTTTTGCAGGCGATTTGGGTTTTCTTTTTTAAGTTAAGTTTTCCCTGTTTAAAATTAGCTGATAACCCATTTCTCAAAAAGGGGGGGGGGGGGTGTGTGTGTGTGTTTAGTCCCTGGATTTAAGGGCCCCTCCCTGAGTTTTCGCACCCAGGGTTTAGGCCAAAACGGCAAAGGGGTTTGATTCTTGGCTATTCCCCAGTGTTTTTTATTGGAAAAATTTAGATATTTATTATTTATATATATATATATTATATTTATTTATAATTTTAAATTTATATATATAAAAAACACTGAAACTCTTGGTGAAAAGGGGGGCTCGAGCCACGAACCCTTTGGAAAAAAAGGTACGCGGGGCTTCACCAATCTACCCCCACTGGAACCCAAAACCCTTTGGGGTCCATTTTTGCCTAAATTTTTAAACCCCAAGGCCCGGGCCAAACTTTTTAGGGAGAAGGCTTCAGCTTTTCATGTCTTTCCCCCGGGAGCATCAGTTTCTAGAATATTAAAAATGCCCAAGGGTTTTGCAAGAAAGTCCCAAATATACACAAACACAAAACTCTGGCTGAGGAGACTCGAACCTGCGAAACCCTTTGGAAAAATGTATTTTTTCGCCTTTCTCTTCGAAATTTCCCTTCATTGGTTTAAAATCCAATAAGGGGGGGGTTTTTATTCATGCCTTTTTAAGCCTTTTTTCCCTGAAAGTTTTTGCCTTTTGGAATTTAAAGGGCTTTGCCCAAATGGGCTCCAAGGGTAATTGGTTTTTTTTCAAACATTAAAAAGGGTTTTGGGGGGGGTTAAGGGCCCTGGTTTTTTTGGGGGGTTTTTTGGGGACAAAAATTTGGGGGGGCCCCCCCCCCAAGGGGTTTGGTGAATTTTTTGTTTGTAACGGGGGTTATTTTGTGTATGTTTGAGTCAGTGGTGTAATTTTTGACCTGTTTTGTGGTTTTGACTTTTTTTTTTTTTTGTTTTATTTGTTGGGGGTTACCCCTGGGTTTTTGGGTTTCCGGGCCCCACTTTTCTTCCTTGGGGGTTTTTTAAAAAAAATCCACCCAAAAGGGGGTAAAGGGGCGTCCCGAAAGGCCTTTTTAATAAAAGGGGGGCTTATTTTTTTAAAGGTATGGCTTTTAAACCCTTAAAAAGAACCTTTTTTGAATTTTTTTCTTTCTGTTTACCAAGTATTCTTAAAAAATTTTTCGAGGGTTAAATAGGAAGGAAATGAAAATTTTTTAGGAAAAGGGGAGTGGCTGCAACCTTAAAAGAAAATTTCCCCCCAAATTTCCCGTAAATTTGTATTTTAAATAAAAATATTAAAAGGGGGGAAAAATTTTCCCCAAAGGGGGGGCGGGGGAAAAAGGGTAGGTTCTTAGAATTGCCCCCAGCGGGAAACCATGGTTAAAAGGGGGTTAAATTTTTTAGAAACCTTTGTCAAGGTAATTTAAACCAGGGAAGGAAGAAATTAGCATTTTTTTAAACTAACCCTTTTCAAAAAATTTTTTGAATTGTTTTTTTTGTCCCGCCTGCCGGGGCTTTAAGCTTTTAAAAGCTTTTGGAAGGAAAAAGGGGCTGGAAACAGAAGAGCCCCCTGGGAGTTAAAATGAAGGCATGAAAAGAAAAGTTTTCAAAAATAAAAAATTTTTAAACAAATTTTACCTTTTTAGTATATATCCCCTTTAATTTTTAATACTTGTTTTTTTTTAAAAACTTTTCATCAAAAGGAAAAAAAAATTATCCTGAAGGGGGGGTTTTTAAGCAGGGTTTTAGGAATTTTTTTTAACAAAAATTTTTCATTTTTTCCAAGTTTTTGACGCCCACAGTGTCCCCGGGGCGTTTCCTTTAAATCTTTTGGGTTTGGGAAAGGGGGAAGGGCTAAAAAGACCCCCGGGAACGGGGAGTTGTTTGGGAAAGGGGGGGTGGGGACATTTTTTTTCCCATTTTTAAAAGCCCATCTTGTACAATTTCCCTTTTTTTAAACCTGGGTTTTTTTCCAAAAAAACCCCTTTTTCAGGGAAAAAAGGAAAAATGCCATTTTCCCCCTCGCTTTTTCCCCCCGGGGGGAATTATTTGGTTTTTTTTGTTTTAATTTTTCTCCAAAAAAAGGGGCATAAGGGTTTTGGGGGGGTTATGGGGGTTTTTGTTTTTATTGGGTTTTTCCCCCGGGTTTTTGTTTTTTTTAAAAATTTTTTTTTTTGGGTTCATTTTTTCCCTGCCCCCTCGGACCCCCATTTTAAGTTTGTTGTCCCTTGGGGAAAGGGACTTTTAGGAAGTCCTTTGGTTTATAAAAAAGGGTTTAAAGGAGTTGTTGTCCTTAAGTGGGATTTAATTTTAGGGGTGTTTAAAAGGGAAGTTAGTTTACAGCTCAGCCTTCTTACGCAATATGACGCGTCGCGCTGTCACCATGCCTGTTATAAATGGCTGTAATTCCTTTTAGAAACATCGTACAAGGATAATAATTATACCAGAGTGTAGCCAGAAAGTTCAGCTATTTTTTGGTAACAATAACTCCATTTTCATATTTTTTCGAATTGTTTTTTGCTCCACGCGCGTGAACCTGAGCGCTCCCTTAAGTCTGCTAGTATGGCAGTGTGGAGAGAAGCGTCTAGTAGACAGAAGAGCGTGGTAGTGTACTGAAGGAAGGGTGAGAATGAGACAGTTTTTCTAGTATTTTAATAGCAAATTTCACCTCTTAGTATCATATCAACATTTATAATTTTACTGTCACTTGTGCTCAAAACTCATCTTCATCAGACAGGAAATGAACAAAATCATGCATAGCAAGATTTTTATAATGCTTAGTGTCTCAAGAGGATTCTTTCATATCAAGAGGTTTTTATCATCTCTGCCACGTCCCTAGAGTACGTCCCTACAGTACGTCCCTGGAGTACGTTCCTACAGTACGTCCTTGGTTCTGCATAGGATGGAAGGGACTAAGGAGACTCCCGTGAACGAGGGAGTTGTGGGGTCAAAGTTCACCCTGGTGGACTATGCTGCGTTCGCTACTTTGCTGGTGATATCGGTGGGCATCGGTGTGTACAGCTCCATCAAGAACCGTGGAGTGGTGACCACTCAGGAGTACCTCCTGGGGAGTCGTACTATGCCAGTCGTCCCCGTGGCTCTATCACTCCTCGGGGGAGCAATATCTGCTATATCCATACTTGGTATGTAATTTTCTCCAAAGAGAAGTGGCTTTATGTTTTGGTTGGTATGGTAGAAGTTTTATGTGTGTATCAGAGTATGTGCACTCAAGGATATCTCTTAGTGAATATACAGAGAAAGGCTTCTTTCTTTCAGTGATTGCGATGAGCAACTGCATACTGACTATAAGTTGTGTCTCATTGTATGTACATTGGGAGGAATGTATCCTTCAGAGTATAAACTAACGGAATTAATCTGTGAGTGTATGTTCACTAAGAGTAGTATATATATTAGAGAATGTGAGTTAAGAGGTATCAGTCAGTATACAGTCAGGGGTATATATGTCTTAGTGAATGTATACTGAGAGGTATATGTTTCTCGATAAACATAATATATTTAAAATATAATAATATATAATATATATAATATATAATATATATAATATATATATATAATATATATATATATATATATTTATATATATATATATAATTAGAAATGTGTATCTCTCAGTTTACATACTCTCAGAGGTATGTATCTCCCGGGGTCTATACACTGATGAATGTGAATCTCAATATATATTATTACCACATACAACTTCTATTAAAATAGAGACCTCAAGAGAATACTACAAGGTCATCTTACTGATCCCCTTCTAGCATATAAGCTGTTTCCGGTTTTGTAACAGGTCGTTGCTTACCACTCAAAAGAGTCAACCTGTATCAAAGACAGCTTCTCATAACGCTTTTACATTACATCTGAATCAATATAAACCAACCAAATGAAAGTTGGGATATTTAATAACAAAAGGATGTTAATATGGAATAATATTTACAATAAACCTCAACTTAATAATAGGGTTAGGCTCCTACACAACGCTGGAGTTTGATAATGGAGTTAGGCTCCTATACAACGCTGGAGTATGATAATGGATGGTCATACAACGCTGGAGTATGATAATGGAGTTAGGGTCCTACACAATGCTGGAGTATAATAATGGAGTTAGGCTCCTACACAACACTGGAGTATAATAATGGAGTTAGGCTCCTACACAACGCTGGAGTTTGATAATGGAGTTAGGTTCCTATACAACGCAGAGTATGATAATGGAGTTAGGGTCCTACACAATGCTGGAGTATAATAATGGAGTTAGGCTCCTACACAACACTGGAGTATAATAATGGAGTTAGGCTCCTACACAACGCTGGAGTTTGATAATGGAGTTAGGTTCCTATACAATCGCAGAGTAATAATAATGGAGTTAGGGTCCTACACACTGCTGGAGTATAATAATGGACGTTAGGCTCCTACACAACACTGGAGTATAATAATGGAGTTAGGCTCCTACACAACGCTGGAGTTTGATAATGGAGTTAGGTTCCTATACAACGCTGGAGTATGATAATGGAGTTAGGGTCCTACACAACGCTGGAGTATAATAATGGAGTTAGGGTCCTACACAACACTGGAGAATAATAATGGAGTTAGGCTCCTACACAACACTGGAGAATAATAATGGAGTTAGGCTCCTACTCGATGCTGGAGTATTGTTTCAATATTTAATATATATTATTATGAATAGTTTGTACATGTAACTTAAATGGTGGTTTCAGCATTTCAGTTAGAATACAGTACACAAAACACTCTCAGAAACTGTACTATCTGGTATGTTATTGTACTGAAGTGAAGTCAAAAATGCAGGAGTAGCGTGTATGTATATGTGTGTGTCTGGTTATTCTCGACCCATAGAGAGGCAGTATAACAGCTTGTTAGAACAGTAGCAGACAACATTCATGCACGAAGCAGACGTGAACAACACAGAGTCAGGAAAGGGAAGAGATCAAACAACGACCTTAACGGGGAACAGTCAGTAATGTCCTCCCATAAAGCAAAAAGTTCTCTATTACTGAACAAATTTAGCTTGTCCCAAAGCTGACAACTACAGTGGAAGATCCAAGCGAAGTGGTCTAGAGTTAGACATGGGACCAGAATCCTGGAGTGTTATGCAAGACACTACCACAGAAAGTACAAAATCCTTCTCTAGATAATACCATGTGAAAGAGCTGCAACAGAGTACAAGATGTTGGTTAGGAGTCACTAATTTGAAACATACACTACCAAAAACAGAGTCTAAATAAAGAAATTTGAGAGAACAGAGTTCTGCCAGAAGAACAGAAAGGAGAGGTTGCTTAGACAAGGAACTCGGCAAGAGAGAGAGAGAGAGAGAGAGAGAGGAGAGAAGAGAGAAGAGAGAGAGAGAGAGAGAGAGAGACAGACAGACAGACAGACAGACAGACAGACAGACAGACAGACAGACAGACAGAAAGACAGACAGGCTGAAAGGCAGGCATACAGACAGACAGGCAGGCAGAGACAGAAAAAAAGAGAGAAATGCCAAAAGTAGGTAACTCATGTAACTTCAGCGGGCTTGCTACATGTATTAGCAATCGAATTAGTGATCATGTAGCTTGCAGCGTGGTTAGCCAGAGAGTGTAGTGGAGTTGTTACATCCTACATACATTTTAAACCTAAAAATAATAGATAAATAATATAAAGCATATATTCATTTGCTATTAACGAAAACATTAGCTATATAATATTAGATGAATACCAAAGTAGGAGAAACGATTGTAGAGGAAGTACAAGGAGAAGGTGAAGGTTTATAAACTAAAGGAGGGGACAATTAGGGAAAGATATAAGCAACAGTTGGTAGAAAGATATGCTGGTGAAAGTATAGGCAATAAGGTTTAAGAGGTATTGGGTGTATTTAAGAATAGTGTTAGTGTTCAGCAGTAGTTTGTAGATATAGGAGGTTGGGTGTAGGAGAGACGAAGAGCGATTGGTGGATTGAAGAGGTACAGAGAGTAATAAGAGAGAAAAGGTTAGCATATGAGAAGTTTTTATAAATTAGAAGTGAAAAAAGAGGGAGTAATATATGGAGAGAAAAAGAGAGGTTAAGAGAGTGGTGAAAGAATGTAAAAGGAGAGCAATTGATAGAGTGGATGAGGTGCTGTCAACAAATTTTGCAGAGAATAAGAAAAAGTTTTGGAGTGAGATTAATAATATGAAAAAGTCTAGAAATTTAACAGTTCAAAATAAAAGAGGAGAATTATCAGAGGGAGAGATGAATGGAGGAAATATTTTGATGAACTCTTAAATGCTGAAGAAGATAGGGAAGCTGTGATTTCGTGCATTAACCAGGGAAGTATAACATCTTTTAGGAGTGAGGAAGAACCAGATATGAGTGTTGTGGAGGTTCGTGAGGCTGTGGGTAGAATGAAAGGTGGCAGAACAACTGGGATTGAAGGGATTAAAGCAGGTTGGGATGTACTTTTGGAACAGTTGGTGCTTTTATGTAATGAATGTATAAAAGAGGGGACGGTACCTAGTGATTGGCAGAGAGCATGCATATATTTTTTTATTAAGACATCGGCCGATTCCCACCAAGGCAGGATGCCCCGAAAAAGAAAAACTTTCATCATCATTCACTCCATGACTGTCTTGCCACAAGGGTGCTTTGCACTACAGTTATAAAATTGCAACATTAACACCCCTCCTTCACAGTGTAGATACTGTATTTCCCATCTCCAGAACTCAAGTCCGGCCGGCCTGTTTCCCTGAATCTCTTCATAAATGTTACATTGCTCACACTCCAACAGCACCTCAAGTATTAAAACCATTTCTCTCCATTCACTCCTATCAAATACGCTCACGCACGCTTGCTGGAAATCCAAGCCCTCGCACAGAAAACCTCCTTTACCCCCTCCCTCCAACCCTTCCTAGGCCGACCCCTACCCTGCCTTCTCTCTACTACAGATTTATACACTCTCGAAGTCATTCTGTTTTGTTCAATTCTCTCTACATCTCCGAACCACCTCAACAACCCTTCCTCGGCCCTCTGGATAAAAGTTTTGGTAATCCCACACCTCCTAATTTCCAAACTACGAATACTCTGCATTATTTTCACACACATTGCCCTCAGACATGACATCTCCACTGCCTCCAGTCTTCTCCTCGTTGCAACATTCGTCACCCATGCTTCACACCATACAACTATACTCTCATACATTCCCCTCTTTGCTTCCATGGACAAAGTTCTTTGTCTTCACAGACTCCTAAGTGCACCGCTCACCCTTTTCCTCTCATCATTTCTATGATTCACTTCATCCTTCATAGACCCATCTGCTGACACGTCCACTCCTAAATATCTGAATACATTCACCTCCTCCATACTATCTTCCTCCAGTCTGATATCCAATCTCTCATCACCTAATCTTTTTGTTATCCTCATAACCATACTCTTTCCTATATTCACTTTTAATTTTCTTCTTTTACATACCCTACCAAATTCACCCACCAACCTCTGCAATTTCTCTTCAGAATCTCTCAAAAACACAGTGTCATCAGCAAAGAGCAGCTGTGACAACTCCCACTTTGTGTTTGATTCTTTATCTTTTAACTCCAAACCTCTTACCTAGACCCTAGCATACATTTCTCTTACAACCCCATCTATAAATATATTGAACAACCACGGTGACATCACAGCCTTGTCTAAGGCCTACTTTTACTGGGAAATAATCTCCCTCTCTCCTACATACTCTAACCTGAGCGTCACTATCCTCGTAAAAACTCTTCACTGCTTTCAGTAACCTACCTCCTATACCATACACCTGCAACGTCTGCCACATAGCCCCTCTATCCACCCTGTGCCTTTCCCAAATCCATAAATGCCACAAAAATCTCTTTACCCTTATCTAAATACTGTTCATCTACATGTTTCACTGTAAACACTTGGTCTACACACCCCCTACCTTTCCTAAAGCCTCCTTGTTATCTGCTATCCTACTCTACAAAGTTCCTTTGTATAAAAGCAAAGTGGACAAAAAAGAGTATAAAAATTATCGGGAAATAAGCCTGTTGAATAAACCTGGTAAGGTGTATGGTAGAGGTATTAATGAAAGACTAATGAGTAAGACGGAGAGCAGGGATCACAGATGAATGACAAGACTTTAAGGAGGGTAGG